TGAAGGAGAGACAATCAGCTTAGAAGAGACAAAAAGAAGAGGTTAGGGTAACGAGGGATAACGAAGCAAAGAAATAAATGTAGCGCAGAATTTGACGAAGAAAGAGAAGCAGTGTGGATATTCCTCTGCCTGAAAGTATTACTAAATTTAAGGATTGGTTCGTGGAAATGATGCAAAACTCTATACCAGAAGATAAGAAATTCCCAGATGATGTGAAATGTCGATAATGTCAACCCCAAATGTCGATATAGTGTCAACCCCAAATGTCGATATAGTGTCAACCCCAAATATCGATATAGTGTCAACCTCAAATGTCGATATAGTGTCAACAAGTAGAAGTTGGAAAATGTTTGAAAAGCAACAAATATGTGATGAAATGATCAGAGCAAATAACGAGTTTCTAGCTGCTTCAACAATCTGTTACTTATTTGTTTACATAAATATCAAATTTAACCATATTTTAAATGATCAAGGACAATTAAAATAAGAATTTTAGTTATGCAAAAAAGCATCAGCTAAGATAGCACTAAAACCATTGCATCCTGCGCGGGTTATCATTGGTAATTTTGATTATGATAACATTAGATATAATCGATAGTTTGAATCAGAATGTATCGTACATTAATTTACTAATTTACAACAACGTTTATAAGTTAATAGGGATTCTAGTAGTATAAATGAATGAGAATTTAACAATACGTTAATGCATATTTGTTGAATTTTTAGGTAAAATAAATGTACATCCAAAAAAAAAAAAATGCAATTTAATATGTAAATACTTATCTACTGTTATCAAAACTTGCAAAAAAAAAAAAAATAAAGAATTATAACAAGTTATTAATGCACGTATGTACATCCATGTCGCATAAAATAATACAAATGCGCATTTGTGATGAGTTACAAGTGCGCGAATATATATATATATATATATCATTTGTTATCTTTTGAAGTATATACATCTAAATATGCATTCAAAATAAGCAAATGCGCATTTCTTATTTTTTAAATTACCAAAAATATGAAATATGATAAGTTTTGTTGAAAAAAAAAAAAAAACCGCACCAAAAAAATTTATTAAGTCGATTTGGTTTCATAGTTTAATAATTCCATTATCTTCCATGTAAGGAGGTAAATCCTTATAGTTACATCAAGCATATTCATTTCGTGATAAGTGAATTCGATGATTATCATCATCTATCCGATGGCTTTCATACTGCCATATCGATATTTAGCACCAGTAGAGGAGATATTACATTGAGTGGTTACATTGAAATAGGATTATAAATTAATTAATTGATATCATTATCACCAATAGCTTTTCACATCTTTGTTGAAGTGATATTTACATGATTATTCGCTGTTGCGCATTTAATCGTTGCGTTCGTATCATTTTTCACTGCTTTTGTGCGTAAGTCCGTTGTGTTCGTATGAAAGCCCACCGCATTTTGTTTTATCAATAAACGGCGATTGAAGTATAAGAATACCAAACTGAATTTAAAATTTGATCAAAAATTACTACCTTTTCTCTTGCTTAGAAAGCTCATTGCATTCGGGAGAATATTGATTAATAAGATTTCGAGAGGTTCAAGAATGAATCAAAGGTTGATAGATATGAAGGCCCTAAACAACGAGCATATTTAATAGTTGACGTTATGCAGTTTTAGCTTTTAAATCTATTGAAATTATTTATGTTTGGTATTCATTTGCTATTCTAAGTAATGCTTACCCATCTAATGTGAGTATTGCAAGCCATGTGTAAGTAATTTGAGTCAAACGTGACACAGGTATTTTAATATAGGACGTAACTATGAAGAATGCATATACGACAGTGCTCACACAGGTCTGAAATGATTTCAATCAAAAGTCATTAAAGATTATGGAGAACATTTCCAGTTCGACACATCAATGAAACAAATATAAAATATGACGTCGGACGAGAGGTACGGTATATCGTTTCTTTTAAATTTCAGTGAGGTTGACACTGTCCAATAGCTTTCGTCGTAAGAAATCGTATTGAAAATCACAAGTTTACAATCAATCTTTACCTGTTTGAAAAATGAGATTTCCTGTTCTGACCTCTGTTGGGTTGCATTAGCTTTCTGACACTTTCTTCCCTACAATTATATTTAATGTAAATTAATTAATAATGTTTGGTACTGACAAAATTTCCTTTTTAAATCCAATACACAAAAATTATATTAGCTATAAGACCTGTACTAAACGTTGAATCAGGTGTTCTGATAGAAAAACTGCACATAATTTGGTGATTATGAAATTGAAACATACTTTTAAATAAGTGACGATGCGATAGAAAGCAACGGCATCAACAATAATGGTGATAAGGATGATAACATCAGACAGAAACATAGCAATATAAGCGAAGAAAGTGTGATTACACGGTCCATACAGAGTTGCCCATGAATAAATATCTGCTTCGAAGTACGTAACGCATTCAACTGTCAAGTTAAAATTTTCGAATTTGGATAATGTTAAAGTTATCATAAATATAACTTATGCTCTGTCCACAACTATTGAAAAAAAAGAAGACAATTTGAATTATGCTAAAAACAAATACCGTTATAATACAAAGCAGTGATTAGCATAGTGAATGACCATAGCGATACGACTATTATCCAAGCATTTCTCGGATTAAAGATGCGGGGATATATTATCGGTGATGAAATTGCCAAAAGACGATTAATTGCCAGAGCAAAATGCATCCAAATGGCAGCATATAATGTTGAATTGGCAAGGGGAGATACTATTCGACAGAAGATAACCCATGGAAATGATATTGATCCCAAGTTTCTGATAAATTTCATGTAGCTTATAGTGTGAGCATAAATAAGAAGAAAAAGGTGCAGGAGATCGGACAGAGAAGGAAAAACTAATCTTGGGTTAGAAGAATTTGTTGGGTTGATTTTTATCAAGCTATCAGACAGATTCATTG